AGAATCTGAAGTTGTTTGCGAGGGAGGTGAAGGAGCTGAGTCGGGAAGTCAGGACGGAGGGGTATGTGCTCTATCTCTCTCTTCTATCCTTTGTGTTATGATTTATCATATGGGTAGAACGCTGGGTGGTCAAGCGCAGGCCTCTAATGCCGAAGGTGAATGGCGCGAAATCACAGACATTATTCATAACTTCGCGTCGAATCATACTTCGCTCGTTTGTCCCTCTATACACCTATCTATATCCCACTCGCTCATCAACTCCGTACCCTAGATCCGTGAGATCTCCCAAGTCACAAGGGGCGTCGCACTTGGCGATTTCAGTAAGCGGGTCGAGCTCGATGTGCGAGGGGAGGCCCTGGAGTTGAAGAATACGGTTAATGGGATGACTGTAAGGTAGGTGAAGCTCATTTCTTATCTTCGTTGATTTTTGTGTTGTCATTTCGATATTTCGATGGGGAGGTAGTGTTACCCTTGTCCTCACTTGGTACTTTACTTTACTTTCGGCATTTATTTCACCCCCCCCGTTCGTACTCATTCTCGTTCTTGTCAAGTCGGCCCTCATTCCTGTTCCATTTTTATTTCCCTCTCATATCCCACTCCATTTCCCTTCCGCAGCCCCCACACCACATGCTAATTCCCCTCTCCCACAGGCTCGAAAGGATGGCGACGGAAGTGTCGAGTGTGACGCGCGACGTTGGGACCTATGGCAAACTTGGGGGACAGGCGAACGTGTCGGACGTGGAAGGGGACTGGTTAGTGCTCGTTATGAATGTGTGTGCTGTTCCCATTCTCTTCTCCCCCTTTCGTGTCGTCGCCTCCCCTTTCATCTCCTCCGTGCCCCTTTCGCGTTCTCTCCCCTTTCGCGTTCTCTCCCCTTTCGCGTTCTCTCCCCTTTCGCGTTCTCTCCCCTTTCGCGTTCTCGTCTCCCCTTCCGCCTGCAGCTTCAAACGACGCTGACTGAGACCACCAATCGCAGGTCAACTGCCTGTGCGCCAGCCTCACAGACCAGGTACGCGCCGTCTCGGATGTCACTGCCGCCGTTGCGTCTGGAGACTTTACGAAGAAGATTGCGTTGAGTGGCGAGGGGGAGTTGAGGACGCTTCAAGGTGTGTTTCGTCTTGGGTCTTGTTTTTTTGTCTTCTTGTTTTGGTGGCACTACTTTTTCACTCCGAGTACCTACCTCCTCCAGCACCGTCGTCCACTTCCAGGCCCTTTTTGTACCTTTCCTTACCCTTCCAGTCGAACATCTCGTTTTGTTTATGTTGGGACTTCGTAGTTTTTCAATACGTATCACGTTCCGACCCTCGTTCGCGATACTTACTATATTTCGTACTCTACCCTCCCCGCTGTCGATGCAGTCGGCATCGGCGCCTCTTTCGACCTTTGTTCCTTGTTCAATATCACCTCAGCATCTTCCTTGTCCTCATCCTTTCTTTTCTTATTCTGCTTCTCCCTTATCTTTATACCTACCGTGACGCTCTCCACAGCTTCGTTTCACTTAGCAGCATTTTTATCCCTCACCTTCCTATGCTTCGCAGTGTTCGCAACATTTACCCATTACTTTATACTTACGCCTGTCTACTTACCATTGATTGTCTTCCCATGCACATTCCTCAAGCTCTTACCTTCCTTACCTTCCCTGACCCACCTGCGTATGCCCCTACCCCTCCTCGCCCTTTTGCTCCCAATTTTTACTTATGCCGTCCTCTCCTATCATCCATATTTCCTGACCTCTTTCCTATCTTCCCATCCTTTCTCATCATTCGTCATACTGAGCACCTGACGAACCTCTCCCAAAACAGACAGCGTGAACTCGATGGTGGACCAATTGTCCGCAATCGTGTCTGAGGTGACGCGCGTCACGGTTGAGGATGGCACGAAGGGGATGCTCTGGAGCCAGGTGCGTGTTGAGTGTGTGCAGGGGGCGTGGGCGGAATTGATGGGGAGCGTTAACGTGTGTTGGCCCTTCCCCTCCCCCTTTCCCCTCTGACCTCTTCACCCCACTAGACGATGGCCTCAAACTCGACAAACATAGTACGTGCCGTTGCGGAAGTGGCGAAAGCCGTCGCGTTAGGCGACCTCACGAAGCAGATCGACCTCGACGTCCAGGGCGAGATGCTCGAGCTGAAGTTTATCATGAACTCGATGGTGTCTACGCTGGGACTTATTGCGAACGAGGTAACAAGAGTGAGTTTGGAGGTGGGGACAGAGGGGAGGCTCGGGGGGCAAGCGAGCGTACCGGAGGTGCAAGGGGTGTGGAAAGTGCGTTGTCGTGGTCGTTACTTTTGATGGTTGAGAGCTGATTTATTTATTCGAATGATGCAGGTGCTCACGGATAGTGTCAATCTGATGGCTATGAACCTCACAAATTAAACGCGCATTGTTGCGGATGTGGCCAAGGCCATCGCGGGCGGAGATTTAGAGAGGCTTCTCGTGTACGACGCGAGGGGCGAGATGCTCGAATGCAAGGAGGCACTGAACGGCTTGAGCAGGACCCTAAGTGGCTTTGCGGACGAGATCACGAGGTCAACAAGGGAGGTCGGCGCAGAGGGGAAGCTTGGGGGACAGGCGCGGTTAATGTGGGCTGGAGGGACGTGGAAGGATGTGGTTGGGAGTGTTAACGTTTTGGCTAACAATGTACGTGTTCCGCTGCTTTCGATTCCGCGTTCGTTGGAGCTGGGGCTGACTTGAACATTCACCGTACAGCTTACGCTCCAAACGCGCGTTCTCGCCGTCGTCATTACTGCCGTTGCGCGGGGCGACTTCACACAGAAGATTGTAGGCATGGATGTGTCCGGCGAGATGCTGGCACTCGTTAACAGTGTCAACGACCTGATTGACCAGCTCGCGAGGGAGAAGGCGAGTTCGGAGGCGAAGTAAGAAGGTATATGGGGAAGGGATGAGAGCGGTGATGAACAAGAGGAATACCAAAGGACAAATGTAGTATATACCTTATGAGCTTTATCCGAGATTTTTTGTGATCTTACCATATCTAATGATACGCAATACAAATGAACTGAACACTCTTCACCATGTTGATTTCGTCCTTCGTCGACTCACCAGTGCATCCGACGATGGGTATATATAGTCAAAGTTCTCATTATGTGATAGTATGCTGAGGCCCAGAACCATGGGGGATAAGGGCCATTTCCTTGCTCGTACATATCTATTTCTATTGTTCTTGGGGTGGCCATACAGAAGCATATCGTGTACGACGCGAGGGGCGAGATGCTCGAGTGCAAGGAGACCTTGAAAGGCATGACCAAGTCCATTTGGGCTGCGAGGGAGGTGGGCTCGGAGGGAAAACTAGGGAGTAGGACAGATGTGACCGATAGCATCAATAAGTTGTCTAACGCCATGAGTTTCTCCCCTCCCCTTCTGCTGTTGCTTGGAATTACGCATGGGGAATCGCAGCTCGATCTCCTGCACGCGGCTGCAGTGACTACCATCGCCCTTGAGCAGTGCTACCTCTCGAAGAAGACTGTGGGTGTGGAGGTGTTCGGCGAAACGATGAGCCTTGCTAACACCGCCAAAGACTTACAGTGCGACCTTCTCGGTCTCCGTACATAGGTACAACCACGATTTTCGCACTTTCCCAAGCCACGGCTCGGTCTGGCAGCTGCCATGGCTATCGCTTGAACACATTCTAACTTATCGACAATTTTGTGTCTTTTCAGGTCGTCTTTTCAGCCTCAGAGTGGCACGTAAGAATAGAATGAGCTGAATGAAAATGCAATCAATTTTTATAGCTACAGCTACAGAAGTACATGATAGAATTACAATATTACATGGCTATGTGATGACGCCGATATGGCTTTCTCCTGTGGATTTATATGTCAATGTTGGTTGTGAGAGGCTGAGAAGTTGCAGAACATTGGGAAAAGCTTGATGGAGTGACTGAACGTCCAATGAGTGTCTGCTAGACGACAGGGGACAACTATGAGGGCTTACCAGGGCGAGGAGGGCTTCATAAGTCGAGAACACGTCAGGGGGGGTCAGGGTGAGGGCGTGTTTGATCGATAAAGGGCCCAGAATGCACGGGAGTCACAAGATTCGATTTAAACCCACGTTTGTGGCGTATTTTACTCACATCTCGTATTACCCGTCGACTCATCTCCAAATATTCATAACGCGTCGACCACCTGTACAACGTGCCTAAGGCTATGAACCCAGAAAAAAACCTGTTTAAAAAATAAATAAATATTCAACCATCAACAGCACCCAGACACATCACCAAGCCTTCCACGGCCTGCCTATCAAGATGTCTAACTCTTTGTGGCGCATCGCGACCCCAACGACACGTTTTCAGCATCCAAGTCTATCAGTTTCTTGAATCCTTAACTCTGCTAATTCCTAACCCCACCCGATGCCTTGTAGAGTTTTATTGTTATTATTATGTTGATAAGTTCGTACGGTATGATTTTATGTGTGTAGGCTCTGATGTGAGATATTTTCTTTTTGGATTCCGGAACCACGCTTACCCCTATACCAATGCTGTTGAAGGGAGGAAATCGGGGAAACAAGAGGGAAACAACAGGAAATGACCACGGAAACTATATTTTGGCTCTACTTTTGATGAGGTGAGGCTCTCAGCAGTTGCCGGGTTGAGGAGAAAACGAACCGTGTAGCTCTGGCCTACTGTACCTGGTTACAATGCGAGGCTTGGAGGCCTCTGAGTTGGGATGTAGTGGAACCGCAGTATACCGGAAATAGAGGTAAATTTTTGGATAGCTCCGCAAGGGAACAGAGGAGAGATCCCAAGGAGCGGCTGTCAGAGGTTTCGATTTGTGAGCTTCTTACTGTCGAATAGTGGCGGGGGGATAGTTAGTAGCATAAGCCATATGCAAGCTGGTTATAACTTGGCATGAGAGATTATGTGCCGTCAAATGGAAATGTACATGTATGTTTGAGGACGGGATTGGGTCAAATTGAGTCGTCTATTTGGTATGGCGTGGTGCAACGGAGTAAAATTGACGTATTAATTCATAAAGACTTCTCCATGCATTAAGAGGGAATCGAACCCCCGGCGGGTCGAGTGATCATTGTTCACACCATATGGCAACGACCCAGGTTACCACTACCCCATTAATGCTTTGGAAGTAGACGTGAGGCAAAAATATTAATGGAACCAAGTCGAAATCTTGGGTTAATCGCGAGTAGACATATTGTACATCCTCCATCCGAATATAGAAACGAAGAGAGCAGTAGGTGTGCATATCGAGGGAAAATAACAACATTTATCGTGAGGCAAGTCTGAAATTGTAGAGAGAGATCTATGTGTTACCACTTCCGAGTCGAAGATTATATCTCCGTTGTTGCAGGCGATGCACGGCTGCGATGTTGGATGAATGACTCGTTAGGTGTGACGTCACGATGGATGATTTCTCTTCTTGACCACATCCTAGACCGTCTTTGCTTCCAGCATCGCTCCAGGTCTCGACAACGCTCGTTATAGAGCCTCTCATCTCATGCCTATTACCTGTTCGCGTACCGCAAGCGTAATGAGCTACACTTGCCCTTCGCACTGTCATTCGCCATCATGGAATCAGTACCTCCCAACTTGAAACAACCGCCACGGGCCATGACACCATCTGACCACCATTTTCGCTGACTTACGGTATACAGATTCGTGTATGATCCACTCTACGCTCCCCACTTCAGGTTCGTTTCGGATATGTTATGAGATTGCAGACATGGTTCTCTGTCTACATGAACTTCAACACATTCAACATGTTTGAACTTCTTGCAGTCGAGCTACGGGAGTTCCCCCGCGTTTGACTGGAATTCCATAAGGCGTAAATGGTAGCGTGCCTGGTGGCTTACTCTCGCGGATTCTATTGCTGTCTTCAATATTCGACGAGATGTGTATGTAACTTTTCTGTTATCCAATCAAGTTCCACTCCAGCTCCAGGCAAAAGCTCAACTTTCTTGGGATCCCAGCGGGGCTTAGCCTTGCTTTCGACTTACTATATACTTGTGCTCGGTGTGTCTCGTATGGGAACACGTCAGCCTGTTTTCGCTGACAGAAGACTCACGGCAAATCGACCGCCAACCCTTTGTATCATGCTTTACTCGGCGCCATAAAATTAGTAAGGCATCTTCCATTGAGGAATAGGGATGCCGGGTGCATCGGGCTCGGCCAATTTGCAGCAAAACATCCATATGGCTTCGTTCCAGAAACCTGAAACTGAAAGACGGCGATTTGTTGCTCTCTAGGTCCAATTCCCAGAGAAAACCAAGGAGGGCTACGACGAGCAAGCTGCAGTGGTGGCCGGAAACGGCACAAAGAAAGGAGGTGAAGTGGGTCGCGCATGCACGATGGGTTGTAGATGGGAATGATGCAATATTCGCGTTCATAGCTGCCACCTATGGAGCGGAGGCGGCCGAAAAGGTGTCGAATATTCTGGAGTATGAGAGACATCAGGACCCAAGCTGGGATCCGTACGCAGAGTTATACGAATTACCTCGCGAGTAGGAGGCTGCAAACATACTAAAGGTCATATCAACGAAGCAGTTTTGTACGTCTCGATAGAATTTCCTGTACATGCGAGGGTTGCACAGGTTATGGAAGGAAAATCAATTGTTGTGTTGTTTTTGGCTGTTTCATAGGACGAAACCGCGGATAAGTAATGGTCGTGTCTCTAGTCATTTGCTTTTGTTCCGCTTCAAAGCCCCGTACCTTAATTGACCTTGGCTGATTAAAAAGTAGATGCAACGACGGCATTGACTACGGACAGACCGGGTGATCATTGATAAGGACGTTCAGTTCATTTGTATTTGCAGCTATGTAAGATCAGATTAAAAATCACCACTTAAAAATGATGAAGTATACTGTTATCCGCTCCATGCTCGACGTGTCAGCTTTCAACTCATCTCTAAATATGTTTCCTTACTCTCCCCCACCATCACCTTATCCCTACACTTCCGTTAGGGAGCAGGTATGTAAGTTCTTTCAGAGCTCCTGCACGACCTCCGAATCAGCCTTTCCTTCTACCTTGCTCACCCGAGTGCTTCAACTGTAGGACGAAGTTAATGACAGCGAGGAGGAAATAAGGCTAACAACATACCCTTGGAAAAGTCGGGAATAGTGTCGATGATACGGAGGAGGGAACGAGCATGGTTCTGGATCGAAAGAAGACTCTCCCTTTGCGACTGGTTGAGGTCACTGTCGAGAGTGAGCTGCGTCATGTCAATAATAGAATTCAAGGGAGTACTTTCATCCCGTCAGCATATGTCTGAGTTCGTACGATTTCCAGAAAAGACTTACCGACTCTCGTGAGACAGATTTGTGAGGAATTCGCTTTTACTCTTGCCAGCAAGCTCAGCGGCCTCAAGCGCGTTGACGTTCTTCTCGACCGAGTCGCGCAATGTGAATACCATCTGCTTGATCTGAGGCTTCAATAAGTCCATCTCGTGGCTAGCCTCGACGGCGATGAACCTGGTGAAGTCGCCATCCGTAGCGGCAGCAGTGATCTGTGCAAAGCCCCTGAGCTGGGTGGTCAAGTTCCCAGCCATTGTGTTGGTGTACAGCCTATATTTAAGTCCCCATTAGTCCCGGAAGGAAAATGCAAGGAGGGCGGAAGACGACATACGTGAGTTCCTGCCAAGTACCCTGCATGCCCGCGTCCTCAGCAAATACTCCAAGTTTTCCCTCACAGCCTACCCCCTTCGTGACTTTTATGAGCTCGTCCGTTGCATATGACAGGCAGTGCACCATGCCATTCACGGTCTCCTTCATCTCCAATACCTCGCCCCGCGCGTTGAACTCGATCTTCCGTTCTAGGTTCCCGTTCGTAACCGCCTTCGCCACCTCTGCGACGGACCGTACTTCCGTCGTGAGGGTGTTGGCCATGGTGTTCACGTTGTCCTGGAGAGTCTGCATGAAATGATAAATCGATGAATCAGCACAAGGCAGACATCAGTAGCACGAAAAACACACCTTCCAGCTGCCCTGCGCATACTCCACTTTCGATTGCGCGCCCAGCCTCCCCTCAAATCCAACTTCCTCACTCAAGCGACTGATAGAGTTCACAATGCCGGAGATCGTGTCCACCATTGAGTTTATGGTTCCTAAGGGAAAGAATGGGCGCCGTGTTAGTGGGCTACGATGGAGGCTTCAACGGGCAGAACAAAAACGCGCCTTTCAGCGTATTCATCTCCCCGTCGAAACTGGCCCCCATCTTTTGCGTGAAGTCCCCGCGCGAAAGGGCCGTGGAGACGTTTGCGACAGAGCGTATCTCGTCCGTAATGTTGAGACACATCCTGTTGACCTTTGCATGGGGGCGTTAGTGTATCCAAGAAATAACAGGGGCAGGGCGAGGAAGATAGGGAGAGAAATAACAGGACGGGAGCGCTCACATTCCGCACAAGCTCGAACCACACTCCCTCCACATCCGGCACGCGAGCCTGCCCCCCGAGCTTACCCTGCGAACCGACCTCAAGTGAAACACGGGCAACTTCGAGTGCCAGCACCTGGAGCCTTTGTCCATTGTTATTTGGCTTGAAGCCTGGAAAGCCATATAAGGATGTAGGGATACGCACCGAACGGCCATGTCATTGACGGTATTCTTCAAATCCAATGTCCCCCCCTGCACGTCGAGCTCAATCCTCTGAGTGAGATCCCCCTGTGCGACGCCCTTTGCGACTTTTTGGATGTCTTGGATCTAGGAGGGTGGTTGACGAGTGAGATCAGAGGGACAAGGAAGGGAAGTGGGACGAACGAGTAAGGCATGATTCGACGCGAAATCGTTGATAGCGTCTGTGATTTCCCGCCATGCGCCTTCGGCGTTGGGAACTTGCGCTTTTCCGTGATGTTTTCTAATATATACATAGCACAGGTGAGTCGATAGATGCAGAAATATACGAAGAACGTACCCCTCAGTCCCAACCTCAAAACTGACCTTCTTCACCTCATCCGCGAGCAAACCAAGGTTATCAACCATGGTATTGACAACATCCTTTAACTGCCCCTCCTCAATCTTTTGCGTAAGATCGCCCCTCGCGACGGCCCCACACACCCTCGCAACATCCTTCTTCAGTCCCTGGTACTCCTGGTATGCTCCGCGGAGATAATCGAGCTCTTGTTGCGCGTTTTCGAATGTTGGTGGGGTGGTATCAATGGGAATCACTGCCATCGTGGATCGCGACGGGGAGCAGGGAGGATGGAGGGGGCGACGCGAATAGTTTTGGTTGATTAATGTATATGAGATCACGTGAGCGATCGATCGGAGATCTATTAATCCGGCTGGCGGCCAACCACCTCCTCGATTCAATGGTTGCCTTTCCATAAGCTTTCGGAATAGAATAAGAGCGATTTCATTTTCTCGGAAATCAAAGCCCGCCGTTTAATCAAATATTCTATTGCCTCGGATAAACCATAAGGCCAATCGAATAGAATTTTCGATTAAATCACTATTTATTACACTCCCACCTGTGCACCCATGGATCAGGTGTATTTTCACACATTGCAGCAACTGGAAGAGGAAGAGGAAGAAGTGGAGGATGACTTATTTGACAGGGCTATGATTCTCGCCACTCTCCTGGCCTTTTCGGTCGAAGAAGCACGGCAGATCCGTGCAGAACGACGACAGCCCAACCGTTTGTACCTGTGTCGACCACAACTTCTTTCCAATCCCCGCATTGCAACACCGTGGCAGGTTCTCTATGATAGCATGAATGACCGTGCGTTCATAACCACCATGGGCTTCGATGTCGCAACCTTCCATCACATCCTTGACTCCGGATTTGCTCATACATGGTACTGGTCATCAATCCCACGTTATGATGCTCCTGGAAGTGCCACGCCTCGGCCTGGAGGCAGATCTCTTGATGCTGCAGGTGCATTGGGACTTGTCCTCCATTATCTCAACTCTACAATGCGCGAGATTAGCCTACAACAGATCTTTGCCATCATCCCATCAACTGCTTCGCGTTACATCACCTTTGGCCTCAAGATACTGCTTGAGGTTCTTTGCCACATGGAAGATGCTGCCATCATATATCCATCAGGTGTTGAGGAGTTTCAGAAGCTCAATGAGCTTATTGTTGCTCGGCACCCACGGCTCACAGGCGCCTTCGCGAGCATCGATGGGC